CGAGCACCGCGCCGTGACACCCGTCACGCGCGTACAAAGACTAGTCTTTCAAGTCCCGCGCCATGGCAGTATCCACGTCGTGGCATCCCCATGTCACCACGCCGCTGCAAGGGACGCAGCACCTTTCACGCCTGGACAGAGACACGTGCTTCCCAGACTGCCACGCCGTTGAGGATGCTCCACGCCGCAGAGCTACCACCCACCACGCCGCGAGCCTGTGTCGCGCCGCGGCAATCGTGCCCTCCACGCTGCGCAGAGTGCCCCGTACCACGGCGCCCGTTCTTACCGCGCCGTGCCATTTTTTTTCCACGCCGTGATGCCGCTACCTATATATATGAGAATGGGTTCGACCGAACCAGGATCTTTCGACTCCAGAAACGAGAAACCCTACCCCTCTTCTCTTTCTCTCGTTCTTTTCATTTTTTATCATCTTTTTCACGTAGAACACGGATTTAAACTTGGATTGCAGCATTGCTTTCAGATTCAAGCTTGTTTATCAGATTCAACCTCGGGATTTATCAATCGTATGATTTCTCTTTTAACTTTATCGTTAAATATGAATTCTTTGATTGAGATTATTGTTGATGTTGAATTGATCATGAGTAGCTAAATCCTTATGCTAGGGATAGGGGACCAATGTCTTGGATTCGTTCTTTATTGTTGGGATTTGTTGATTGTTCAATTTGTACGAGTTGTACTTTAAAAAGGGTTTTTCAATTAAAACGCTGAATATTGAGAATTGTTGAAGGGTGACACATCAACTTACAATTGTTTCAATTGAATTTGATTTATTCAAGCATGATATTGGTGATTCTTATTGATTATCGGTTAACAACCCTCTGGTCTATCTTAATCGACTCTTAGAACCGAAAGGGGAGGAGTCGGTCGAAATAGGCTCGTATAAACTAGGCTTGTTCATAACTGTATTTCCTATGTGTTAAATGACTTTTAATTTTGCCGTTCAAGTTTGTTCTCTTGTTACGAAGAGTTATTGAGGATGAGTACTTGAACGAGCAGGTTAATCAAATCACTTAACCGAACGATCACTTGCCTAATAGTCGCAATTCGAACCAAAAACAGATATTCCTAACTCCCTAGCTTCTTAAATCTTGCTTGTTCTACGTGTTAATTTGCTATTTCACTTTGCTTAATTTAAATCTTAGTAATTGATAATCAAAAATCAAACCAAAATCTGAATTAGAATGTTTAGGAATTTTATTTCTTTTATTTGTGCTTGAATAAACGTGCAGAGTATTCCGGCTAACCTTCCTCGTGAGACACGACCCGGTGTTCGAATCTTTTGATTCTACTCCAGAAAAATATTTACAACAACAAGCAAAAAATTATTGTTTGAATTGTCTAGGGAAACAACAATCGGACTCGAGTAAAATCTGTCATCATTTCTTAACTTCTTTTGAGTACTCTTCTTATGGTTATGGACAATACGGACAGACAACGTAGCAAGTCCAAAACTTTAGTAATTGGTAAGATGACTTTAATCCCTACAAAAATCCTAAGATCCAAAAGGCAAAGGGACTGGATACAGTGAGCTCAATCACTAACTAACGACGAATTTGATACTTACGATTGCTCGTGAACCGGTCCCGCAACAAAAATTCGACGTCTTGGATTGGTGGTCAAAGATGTCTACCATTTTACCAATTCCATGCTTGATGGCTAAAGAAATTTTCGTCGTCCTGGCCTCAACAGCGGCGGTTGAACAAGCATTCGGTGAGGAAGAATATTGTTGGGTTCTATTAGGAACGTCGACAATGTGCACATTCAAATCTATTGAATAATAAAACCTAACGCAGCGGAATCTATAGTTAGGATTAGGACTTACGGTTTAAAATTTTTGTCGACTCAGAGACGTTTCTGATTTCTGTTGATGGAGATCGTCTGTCTACCACAACCCAATCGGTTGAAGGGTTTAGCCTTTGCCGACTCTAGTCGAGTGTTGAATCACGAATGGTTCGCCTCGGACCTTCGGTAAATTAATCGGATCGCCCGGGACTTGCCTTGGACTCGAACCGGACCTTCTGGACCATGTTGAACTGGTTTGAAGGTTGCTGACCATGTCTGGACCGGTCTGGTGTTCCCTGGGCTCGAGCTGGATCGGTCTGGCACTTCCTAGACCCGCTGGGCTGCATCTGGGGCGAGCTGGAGTGCTGGGCCGCACGCATCCGCTTGCTGGGCCAAGAAAAAACGCGTATCTGGGCCTGAGAGGCTGGGCTTCGTGCGCGGGCTGGATTGGGCTTCTCGCGGGCCGCTTGCGGGCTACAGCTGAGGAGGATACGGGCTGGAGCGCGGGCCTACACGCGGGCTTCACGGGCTGGAGCTGGTGAGACAGATCGGGCCGCCCGGGCTTAGACGCGGGCTTCACAGCCCGCGCGCGCGTTTTTCTTTCTCCAATCCACTGGGCTTCACTACGGATTTGGCTGTGCGCTACGGGCTGCCTTTAACTGGGTCTTGCGCGCGCGAGCTGGGCCGACGCACAAGCTGCTGGGTTGAACGCAAAACTGGACCTGGGCGCGGACTGAAGGCAGATTTGTGCTGGGTTTTCTTCATACGCGTGGGCTGCGATGGGACGGCGCGTGCAACCGACTTCCGGCGACCGCCGGCGACTGTAGACGGCAGAGGTTGGCGGCGGTCGTCGGTGGTGGTTGGCCGGAGTATTCGGATCTCTAAGGTTTGATAAATATCACCTTAAAATCTTCTAACAGATTACCTAAACACCTATTTCAATTAATCTTGGTGGAGCGATTAATTGAATCTCCCAAACACTTAATCAAGATAATCTTTCTGTCTTAGGAATAAGGAAAAATCGACATCTCAAGTCTTGTACAAGAGGTTGAGACATGGTGTATTTATAGGCTCCATTAGGGACTTAAGGAGGTGCTAAATATGGGCTTATCCCATTAAGCTAAGGAATCCTAATTCTACTCCATGAGTTAATCCCAACTAGGTCATGATTCCTTCTTCCTAACATCACCTTCTAGAAGACTCTCAAGTCTCCTAACCCTAAGTAATATTCTAGAAAGAATATTCTCAACTCTTGGAATATTAAATATGGAATAAAATTAATTCTTAAAATCATAATAAAATTAAATAATAATATATCCCACTAGAATATTATTATTGTTCTACCTATTTGGCTCCAATTTAATCAAGAATTTAATCAATTAAATCAAACCTTCACTTGATTAATACTTATTAATCTGATTGATCGATTTACCTCCCTATGTTTAAGATATAACATCCATTGATTAATTAAATTACTGACAAAATAATTAATCAATTTCTTATTCATTTCAGAAACTAGTACCACTCAGATCGTTAACCATTATGTCGGAACACATCCGCTTGCAGGGCTTAACATAATATTCCTTCCTGAGCTCATTTCGGGGACGTCATCAACCCAGCGCACTGGGACACAGTGGCCGTAAATAATTTATAATAGCACACTATATAAATATTCTTATTTACCAAAATACCGAGTATGTCATCCTAACAGAAGAGGAATCACCCTTGGTAAATCAAATAAATAAGTAATAAATATATATGCCTATTTTATATTATCTTACAGCTTTAGAGAACGCATCAATCACTGAAGGTCTTGATTACAACAACGGTATGTGAGTCTCATAATCTTATCCTTTCGTGGTCCTGTTCAATACTTAACATAAGTACTAATGTAGTTCTCCAGTTAAAGATCAACTGAATCAAGAATACACTACAGTTTTTGTCCAAGTGGGGTCTCACCGCCAGTCTAGACTGTGAACAAATAATTTAGTCTTACAAGGAACCGATAGGTGACCTTTCTGTTCGATACACCACGAACACACTATCTCAATGTAAGACAAGGAGTTTGATTGCATAAATAAATAAACTGCAAGCATATGTACTTAGACCGAAACACGATTGCCGGACCAAAATGGAATTGTTCATATCTGAAAGCCAAGCTTTTATAGCATATCTAACAAATATACACTGGACGCACGACGCACGACGGTCGAGGTTGACGCCACAAAACCTGGAGGCCAAAATGCTGCTGAGTGACTGGAAGAAGGCCGAAATGGGGGCACAAAAGGCCATTCTAACTGTCGAAGAGGATGAAGAAGATGAGGGATTCGATTTTACTGCTAGTACTAGTGGAACTGCCAGAAATGAAGAGGAGTACGACACATACGACTACGAGGACTAGACAGTCGGTTCAATCCTGCCATGTACTTTTATCAAGGTAAGTATAGTAAGAGAACTATGAGAACTTTGATTCCCGATGTAAGGGATACGTAAACAACTTAATTGACATTTTACAAGTTAAAATATCATTTTGTAACCCAAAAAATTCTTCAACAAAATTGATATTTTAACTTATAATATGTCAACTAAGTCGAAGTCCAATTTATTTAAACCTGCCTCCTCAATTTTTTTTTAAAAATAAAAATTGGCCCGCCTGAACCAAAACCGAAACATGTTGAACCAACCTAGAATCGAGCTAGTTTGGTCCCGACCCGCCAGTTCGGTGAACCGACTCAGAAACGCCAGTTCAACGAACCGGCCCATACTTACATCCGGGCTGGTTTCGAGCCGGTGTTTTCAAGCCCGACGATCCGCCGGGCCGGGCCACGTCACACGCTGTGAGTTGGGAGTCGGCCAATCAAAAAGGCGGATGTTGACATAATGAATATCCAGATAAAGAATACGAAATAAGAGCATCTCCAATGGCTCAATATCTATTTTGAGATGAATGATGTAGAGAAAGAAAAATAAATAAAATTGTCTCCAATGGTTAATCTCATTTGTGAGATAATTTGACACATGTAATATAATGATTGGTTGGTAAAAACATAAATATAACATAAATAATATAATATAAAATGGAAGATGTCTAGAAGTCTTTCTAGATGTAGAAAGACTTCTAGATTTATTGAATGCCACATTGGATTTTGAAGGCTAGGTGGCAATGGAAGAGAGCAATCCATGTACCACTGGAGATGCTCTAATGCATCAATCAGTGACCCCCCTAAATATTCATTGCCTCATAAACACACAATTTCTCTGCAACTTTTAATATCTTTGTGGCCAGAAGAAAGAAGTTTCGCCTCGTAACCTCGCCGGCGAGAGATCCGTTTTTTCTTCTGAGGTATGATGAACACCGCTAGCTCGTCACTTTTGCTTTTAATTTGTGTGATTTTATCGTAAAGAAGATGTATCTGTTTTTTTTTTTTTTTCTTGAAAAAATTGTTTAATTATAGAGATTGGCCATGGCTTCGAAGCGGATCTTGAAGGAGCTGAAGGATCTTCAGAGGGATCCTCCTACCTCTTGCAGCGCTGGTATATTACTGTTTTTTAATCATAAATTGATATTAGAAACTCCTGAAACAAAGAATTGATTCCGATTTGTTTAGTTAATTGGTTTTCATAGGATATATGCATGTATCGGATTTTTATTTATTTATTTATTTTTTGTCTTGCTGTGTGGAACTGATTGTGTATTGGGTTTAGATCTTATGGAATAAGGCTGTCTAATCCGAGTTCGTTACTTTCTAATTAAAAAATAATTTGTCAGAACGAAGCTGATCGAACTCTTGTCTGGGCTTGTGCAGTTTACCTTATGGTAAAAATCTTTACTTGCTAAAAGTTTGTTCTGCCTTTCCTGGTGAGTTTGGTTTGTGACTGAATACTACAGTCGCCTCATGCTTAGGCTGGATCCTCTATTTCCATTATTGTTTTGACAAACAGTTCTGGGCTCATATTTGGATGTTAATGATAGTCTTGACTTGTACTTATGCTGTTGTGCCACATAAGACATTGAGCTCAGATTAGCTATATCATTACAGTTGAGGATTGTGGTTTGTTAATAATTTGTAATCTCTGACTGTTTATATTCTCTGTTGTTTTCCTGATGAGAGTGCTTTACCTTACAGTTAGTATATGAAAAAGATTAAAAGAATCTGTGACAATCATTTTGTGATGCAGGTCCTGTAGCTGAGGACATGTTCCACTGGCAAGCAACAATCATGGGTCCCCCAGATAGTCCATATGCTGGCGGTGTTTTCCTTGTTGCCATTCATTTTCCTCCCGACTATCCTTTCAAGCCTCCTAAGGTATGCGATTTGCCACGACCAGTGGTTTGTAACTTTATGGTGTGGGTAATTCGAAAGATGTTCTTGAGGTTTAGGCGAACTACTATATAAAAATCATGGATTCCCCGTGATGTTTGTCCAATATTATGAATTAGTCACCGAGGAGAAAGGGGGCAAGGATGCTTGTTCAGTAAATGCAAAAGTCAATGTCGTGTTTGTAGTGTAGTACCTGATGAGTTGTTAGATTGTTGGATGAGTACTAAAAATTTCAGCAATGATGTTAGTTTGCAGGAGTATGTAAGTTGTAATTGGCTTGTAACTAATTCTTGTAATCATAATTCTCAGGCCTTTTCTATTTTAAAACTGTAATCAGAATCTGTATAAATAATCATGAGTTCTGCAGGTTGCTTTTAGGACAAAAGTTTTCCACCCAAATATTAACAGCAATGGAAGTATATGCCTCGACATATTGAAGGAACAGTGGAGCCCTGCACTGACTATTTCCAAGGTTCATTCCTCTTTTCGCCATAGTAACAAAAGTCCTAAAGTTTTCAATAAGTCAACTCTAATACGATATTTTCAAGACATTATAACTCAATATTTACCGTAAATTGGAGGCACATCTTTTCAAACTCTTTTTGTTGATAAAGTGATTTGGCAGCATTCCTCCGTTATTTAAATTAAAACTACAATACATCTAATTTTCTGTATATTATTAGTTATAACAGAATTCTTTGGAGTTGTCTATTTTTGATTTTGTCCAGGAGTATAATACTCCATAAAATATAAATATGTTTATATTGATAGATTTCTGAATAAATCGTGTACAATATCTTGCAGTCAAGTTTTGTTATGTTACTAAGAATGTGCCCAAGCAGTCCCTGATACCTGCATTATGAGTTCTGAAGTCTAAACTGAACTAATTCAACTGGGGTCACACTTTGACATATAGTCTCTATAAAAAATGGATCCTTTCATGTCAATTTATTGTTTCGAATTAGGGCATCCACATCTCTTAACATTCATTCAATCACAATTTACACTCTCTCATCCACATCATCTCCAAAACATCTTTCCACTAAATATCTCTCCATTTAAACACACACCCACATTCAATCATTCATTTAAATACAAACATATGGGACCCATTCTCCACACATTCAATACTATTTTTATATTCTATTCTTAATAAAAATAAATATATTTTCTTAATTAGAATACTTAATTTTAAATGTTGAAATTACACTCAATATTATTAGATTAAGAAAAATATAAATTAAGATTACAAATGAAAAATAGTAGAACAGGAAAAAATAACTTTTAGTTGGAAGAAAAATGAGTCCAAATATGTCCAACTAAGTCTGTACGAAGTTGGTGATGCATTGTATTGTCTCGTATCTCTGAACTTCTACGAATATAATCTTCAAATTCACCATTTGAGTCCTGGACAAGTTGAATTGAGGTGTATTTATTGGCATAAAAAAGAATGGAGGGATATAAAATGTAATTATTGATACATATTGAAAAATCTGATATAAATAAAATTTGAATTTATCAATATTGAAAAGTGTGATATAGATAAAAAATAGATTATTATAAAAGAAAAGAAAATAATATAAAATAAAAATTGATTTAAAACAAAAAAAAAGCAGCTAAACGCGTTCAGCTGCTTGAACGCACAAGGAGGACCCACTATTTAATGGATGGCTACATCCCTATTAAACGCCACTTGCCATTTAAATGGGGTAAACAAACGCCCCACTGCTGATGCTCTTATACATGATAACTTCTTCCAAATCCTATTTTCCCAGGTGTTGCTTTCTATATGTTCTTTACTGACGGACCCGAACCCTGACGACCCATTGGTACCCGAGATTGCCCATATGTACAAAACTGACCGGTCCAAGTACGAGACTACTGCAAGAAGCTGGACTCAAAAGTATGCTATGGGCTAATCTTGGGTTAGTCTTGTAAGAAGGTTATGAGGCAGTTGGTGTTCTTATACTATATTTGCTTCAATACGGCCGCATTTTATGCAAGAAAGTCTTAACCTGTTTGTGGAAGTCTTTAATCTGGACAAAAATAGAGGGTGAAAGGTTATCTTGTGTTACGACTCCTGTAACGTTTGTAGTTATATGTTTGAATTGTTTTATGCAATTTTTATTTTTTTTAATTATCTTGTGCAAGTTAATCTTGAATTTCTTTCTGGTAAAATATGCATGCTGCTTAAATAAACATCACTTGGTATAGCTGTGAGATCACTTTTCCGGGGGAGTGTCTCTAGATTTAAAGATATAAATTCAAGAAAATAGTGTTTCTCTGGTTTTAGATGTTGAAATTTATTTTTCTTTTTCTCAAATCTAAAAAGCTCATGTAGACCTTCATAATCAATCACAAAAGAAGAGCATTGTTACTTTATCTATTTCTAATATGTATGATCAAGTTGGAGGATAAGTTCATTTAGTGACTTGGTAAATGAACACGAAGAACTATAGTTTTAAAAGCTGGACATGCAATTTTGACCTGTTAGATTGGGAACCGGTCTAGTTATTGGTTTAGTTATATCATATAAACCGCTTAGCTTGCAAACCGGTAAGGGATAGTGCGAACCGGTTCAAAATTAGTTGGTGCCAGTTTGAATTGGTTGGACCGGGCATTGGTTCTTGCGGGGTAACGGGTCATGAAAAAGACAAGGTTTTTTTTTTTTCTCTCTTAAAGTCAAGATCTGAAAATTGAAATTGAGAAGACCAAAAACAAACTCTGAATAAAAAATATAAGGTCATGAATCCGATCCTATTCTACAACTATAAAAATCTTGCTCCTGCGATTAGTGCTTCTCCTACCGTAGAAAGAGGAGTAGGCTTTCAAAAAATCTCTACTTTGCTTGTGTGTGGCAGATGAGTTTGTGTTTTAAGTCTTTGGGCGTGAAGAAGGCGCATGTGTGTGGCAGATGAGATCTGTCTGAGAAAATTGGCGGAATTTTACTCTTACCACAAGATAACTAAGATTTTGCAGTTTTACGATGTACACAAATTTATTAGCAGTAATACTTAATTGGGGTGAGTATCATTATTTTAGGCTGAATTCCGCTAATAAAGGGAGTCAGTTACCTAAAATCACGCCCTCTCTCTCAAGCAACTAATCTCTCACACAAGTAATTTGAGAAAAATAGGTAAGTGGATATAAAACATATTTTGAATTTGAAACGTACTATCTCTCCTAAAATATAGCTCATACACGATAACAACGTAACTGCATACACGATAACGACATAACTCTTCGAGCATGCTGTAAGCACCAACCTAACATATACCTGATATACACGATCAGAATCGCGACATAAAATCAGGTATAATTCTCTTTACTTTTTTTCTTTTAAACATGTATATTGTTTGTATTTAATATGTATATTGTATGTATATTTTTGCGTTTTTTTGGGTGAAACGCACATGCTTTATATTCTCTTCGCTTCGAACATGCTGTATATTCTCTTCGAACAAAAGGCACTGTATATTCTTTGTATATTTTTCCGACTTTATTCTGAATATGTTTTTTATTTCTATTCCTGCTGTATGTAAATGACAGATGGATACATCGATTAAGATCTTCTTCAATTACGGTGGTGAATGGGTTAATAATGAATATGTGAACTTTCAACCTTCCGGTGTTCTAGTTCGGAAAAATTGCAGTTACAGAGAGCTTTGTGATGCATTGAGGGACAAACTCAGGATATTGTCAGAATCATCTACGCTTGAATTGAAATATAGCCTGAGGGATGGTTATCTACCAATGTGTGTAGATGATGACAGCAGCGTTGCTTTCTATATCGATTTGAAGTCGGATGAACCAGATTACACGAAATTTCCGGTTTGCGTGGTCGTGAAGTCTCAGATGAATGGGCGTAACTCGTCCATGGACTCTCCGAGTGTCTGTGATGTGAGTTACAAAACAAATGTAGCTCCTTTGAGGCATACGGAACTGGAGAACTATAGATATACGAGAGACGTCCCATTGAATTTCATGGATTTCGCTCATTCAGTGGCTCAGGAGATGGTTGAAACGATAACACATACCGAACATACCCAGAACATATACTCGGACAGCGAAGTGATTGTCTCAGATGAGGCAAATGTGGAATCGAATATCGTCGTTGGTATGTTACTCAAAGATAAACATATGCTGCAGAGAATATTGACGATGCACGCTATAAGGAATCAATATCAATTTAAAGTCGTGAAATCGTGCACAAAACAATATTACGTGAAGTGTTTGTCTGATGAATGTAAATGGTTTGTAAAGGCGTCCCGTGTTTGTCAATCAAGCACGTTTAAGGTAAGAGAGGTTGGGACTGATCATCATTGTGCATTGGATGTGCGCATGGGTGGACAGCGGCAGGCAACTTCTAACGTTGTTAGTAGTTTTATCAAGACGAAGTTCACTAATAACAAGACGACATATAATCCCGGGGACATCGTGGATGATATGCAGAATCGTTTTGGGATAAACTTGTCATATCACAAAGCGTGGCGTTCGAAACGAAAGGCTGTGGATGAGGTACGTGGAAAGCCAAATGAGTCATATGAATACGTATGACAGTACCTCGAGAGGGTACGTGTTTCGAACCCAGGAAGCAATGTGGGGTTGTGCACGACGTCCGAAAAAAATTTTATGTACGTGTTCATGTCCCTGAATGCATCAAAGAAAGGGTGGAGCCATTGCCGACCTATTATTGTTGTCGATGGGACATTTCTAACGTCATCGTATGGAGGCGTTTTGCTTACAGCATGTTGCCAAGATGCAAGTTTTCATATCCTACCGCTTGCGTTTTGTGTTGTTGACTCCGAAAACAATAATTCCTATACTTGGTTTTTTAATAAATTGAAATCAGTTGTTGGTGAGAGGGAAGGAATGTGCATTGTTTCGGACGGTCACGTCAGCATAAAACACGCTGTGTCTACAGTAAGTGTACATAATATATTCTGTACTGTTTGATTGTATATATTCTGTTTATGTTTTGTATATCATCTGTATATATTATGAACTTACAGTAAATCTGTATAATGTGTATACGTTTTTGTGCATACATATATCTGTATATGTTGTGTGTCTACACACATGTTCCATGCTTACTGGTTGTTGTTGTATATTAATTATGCAGGTCTTCCCTAATGCGGCGCACTGTCTATGTACATATCACATATCAAACAATTTGAAGACGCATTTCAAGACTGAAGCTCAGTTAGTAAAGGAAGCTTTTCATGCAGCGGCAAGAGCTTATACAGTGGAGGAGTTTGATGGATATATGTCAGAGATAAGAAAGTTAAATCCTAGTGTGATACCATTTTTAGAAGAACTTGGCGTACACAAGTGGGCAAGAGCTCATTGTCCGAGTAATAGGTATTTCACAATGACTTCAAACGCTGCTGAAACAATTAATTCTGCGATAAGGTCAGTGCGGGGACTCCCGATCACAACATTGTTAGAGGCCCTTAGAGACATGCAACAACGGTGGAGTGTGGCGAATAGAGATGAAGCGAAGTCCACATTCACTGCACTTGCCAAGAAACCTCACAGTATGATGGAGAACAACTACAAGATAGCCAGCAGATTCTATGTAAGTTCAAATCATTTCGTAATTGATTATATACAATATATATACAGGATATGTACTCTCGTTATGCATATGCCGTATAAAAATATTTGTATCTGAATGAAATTTAATATATATATATATATATATATACAGGTACAGAAAGCAAGTGACGCTGTGTACAAGGTGTTGGCCGATGGTAAAGCATTTATAGTGGATATTGACTCAAAGACATGCTCATGTCATCGATTTCAGATGGATGAACTCCCATGTGCCCATGCTATTCGTGTGATAAAATCCTTGCATCTGGATCCTGTTCAATTTTGTTCTGTGCACTACTTAACATCGACTATGTTAAGTACATATGTTGAAACAGTGATGCCTATAGCAGGTAACCAGACATTTATGTTCAACACAACCGCTACACCGCGATTGGTAAATCCACCCGATGGCAGTGCCAAGCCAGGTCGACCGAGGAAGCAACGACTAAAGTCCAGATGGGAGCATAGGTCAAAAAATAGATGCAGTAAATGTAATGAGAAAGGGCACAATGTTAAAACATGTCGGAATCCAATAAAGAGATAAATTAATTTTTTTCTCAAGTACCTATATATATATATATTTATTTTTTTTTTTNGAAGAACCTCGATCTGTTGGAATGTGATCCGTATTATATGCACATATTCTAGATTCCATATTATATACAGATCATATACATTTATGTATATATGATATACATAGTTATATAAATAGTTGCTAGAGAATATTTGAAAATTCCAATATGTGTTCCTTAATATATTCAAATCATACACACATCATATTCAGTATCCCAGTTAAATGTTATATTTATATTATATTTCTGTGTATGATCAATGAAAGTTTTTTTTGCAGTTTATATGTTTTTAAAGTTCAATTTGTATTGTACGGGTATGTCAGACATGTATATATAACAGAATTGTATACATATCATATACAACTTATGTTCGGTTATAATATGTTAATAAATAGTAGAAACAAAAAAATTGAAGCCACAAACAAACATAAAACACAGCAAAAGTTATAATGTTGTTACTACAAACGCAAACCAAAAGTGAAGTAGTGTCAACAATTCACCAAACATAACAAAATCATACGAAAAACCAAATCACTTAATTAACTACTAACGCAAACCAAAAGTTAAGTAGTGTGATGTCAACTATTCACCAAACATAACAAAGTCATACAAAAAACCAAATCATTTAATTAAACCGAAACGGGAAGTATCAGGGAGTGTGCCGGGAGATTCATCGTCGCTATCAAGATCGTTTTCCATCTTCATTAGTCCATGCTTATAGAGCAAGAATCCATATCTATGCCTCTCTAAACTGGGATAGTACTTCTTCTGTGTAATGTCGACATCGACAATGAAGTGCTCGGCGAATGATGCAACAAAGACACCACAGTCGCTGTAAAGAAAATAAACATTAAATAAAAAAAAACACCCAATATTATACTATGTTATGTTATATGAATATTCAGCTATGTTATGCTTAGTTGGAAAATCATTTAGGTTCTGTTGATATGAATATACAAATATATATATA